CTGGCCAGAATTTTTCCCAAAACTCTTTTGTTAGGCCGTCAATCCCTGGTGCCTTATCGATGTTCATGCTTTTGAGGGCTTGTAGCAGCTCTTCTTTTGTGAGGGGTTTGTCCATTTTTGCAGCTTGTTCCGCAGAGATTGTTTGTTCCAGGTACTGTAGCATCCGCTGTCTTGCTTCCACGGTGGCATTCGGTGTTGGAGATCGGGTCTTTGTGTGATATAATTCCTGATAAAATTCTTTGGCGACTTCCATAATTTCTTCACTGCTTTCCACTATTTTTGTCGAGTTGGACGGGGTTCTCATCTTGTTTATTGTGGAAGCCCTCGTATTCGCCTTGATTCGTGCAAAAAAATGCTTCGTCATCGACTCGTTGAGTTCGTGATCAACCATTCTAGCTCTTATTTGTAAACCTTTTAGCTCCCACCATCTCCACATAGCGAGTTCCTCGCGGGCTTTCTCAAAGATATTAGTGTAAAGTGGTGAGGATGGGTCATCACGTAAGTTGAGTTCCGCTATCTTTAGTGTTTGTTCGAGTCTATGTTTCCTCTGTTTTCTCATAGAGGCCAGCTTCCTTGACATTTCTGCAGCAGTCTTTGTAAGTGAGGAGTAGCTCTCCACAAACCATTGCCAGCGGTTCTGATTAGGTAGAAAGCTCATGCTTCTAGCGCGCCAGAATTCGTGTATTCCTTCTTGGAAAGTTTGACTAACTCGCGCCAGAATTCGTGTATTCCTTCTTGGAAAGTTTGACTAAGTAATAATGAGTTATTCAGCTTGTGGAACCCAACACCTTTTTTTACTTGCGGTTCGAACCCCATAGTTAGCTCTATAGGCTTGTGATTTGACTGTTGCCTAATCACCCTTTTTCCATTCTATTTCCCCTCTCAGTAGCGTTCTCCACGCTATGGGAATGCAGTCTATTAGCTCTTCTAGGTTCTTTTGTAGATTATGGAGTCCTCTTAAGGTGGTTCTAAGGTCCCTCTCTGTTTCCCATTTCCAGTTCTGCTCATCTCGAAGGTGTTCTATTTTCCAAATGCCCTTCTCCACTACTGGTAGTAATCTCCATCTTTTGTCTGTTTCTTTTAGAGTCCATGGCCGGTTATCCTGATCTGTTAATAGTTCATTTCCAAACAGGGGTTGTCGGAGGACCTCTTCCTTACACCTTGGCTCTCTCCGCCTTTCCGGAAAAGCCTCTCTCCAAGCTGTGATCAGCTTCGCCCAGTGTTTGCTTGCGGGGTCTTTTACCGGCCCGTTTCCTGGGTCGATTTCCATTCCCTTCCAACCTTGGTGACCGGTGCCTGTTCATTAGCCATAGATGCCCTTGTATTCCCTGATGTGCTTTGAAGGGGGTCAGGTTTCTGATCGTGTGTAGCGCCGTTCCCCCCCATGGGAGTTCTAGTTTCAGGAGTAGCCTCAGGATCCATTTCGCTTGTAAGGCTTTATGTTTTGTTGCTAGGCTCAGCCCCCCCTTGATAGGTGTCCTTTCTGAAGTGCTTTGGGGTATCCGAAATTGATGCAGCGCACCACACCATGGAGAAGATTGACGAGTTTACTACGAGTGCTCTTCCTATAAGGGATGTATATATATTCTTTGCCATCCTATGTACTTCTTTATTATTGCTGCCAGTAGGTTTGCTGCTACTGAGTCCCTTGTACCTTGCATGTTTACTGTAATGCCCAAGAAGACGAGTGACTCCTATGGATCCATCCATGCTAGTAGGTGTTCTGGATATTGGATGACTTCTCTCACAACACTGTTGGTGTCAACTTCTGCCTGTCTTTATCTTTATTTCCAGGCCAAGAAAAACAAAAAATTCTTTTATTTTGCTGCCACGGGGCCATTGGTGTCTGTTGTGCTTTCAGCGGCATTTATCAAGGTCGCTGGGATAAAGCGTCTGCATGTGAAAACGGTAAGAATTTACACTACCTACACTGCAAACGCTCTAGCACTATGCTTTGGAACTGGCTGGTGTTATACAGTTACGTTCCAGATCGACAATCTGGATGGAGTTGGAATGAAAGCAGGTGTGGATCAGATGTAGGAAGGGCGAGAGAAAGGAAAAGAGAGACAGGGATCATTGTCTTATGGTAGTCGACACATTTTGTTGGTGAGATTTTTGTCAGTAGCGACGTTAGTTTGTGCGGGCATTGCGGTTCGTTGAGATGTTTGGGGGAAAAGGGGGGAAGGGGGGGGGGGTGTCTCGTGGAGTGTTTTTATGGATGTAGGCAAGGCGGGATTTTGTTTGTTTCAATATGATATGCAGGGATGTTGTGTTTGGTTGGGATCGAGGCCTCCCGCCCCCCGCCCCCCGCCCCCCCCCTCCACATTACTCATTGCTGCCTCGCACCCGCCCCCCCCCCGGGTGCTCGCCCCCCCTCCTTTATTGCTGTGTGTTGCACTCGCGGCTTCGTATTTGTGATGTGATGATAGCAGTAGACGCTCTGGTGATATTGATATCACTGTTGGTGGTGGTTTCTGATTGTGACTGTCTCATGAATGTCATATGAACAGTTGATAAATGCTGTGTGTTTAATGAACGGTGAGACGACGGAATTGAGCATGAGGATGAAATTGTGTGGGTTCAATGTCAAAGTTAATAAATTCATTTGCTGAGGAAGGTGGTTGGAAGCATGATACTGGTACAAGGGCGAGACAAGGTTATGGAGGATGTTAAACATATGGAGTTTAAACGCTCTTGCCAGCATCAATAAACAGCATGAGGAAAGGCTGGTTGAAGTGGTATACGCGTTAGCGCAGTTGTTGTAATGGCGATGTGGTGCGTGCAAGCCTAAACTGACATCGAAGGGAAGGGGAGGGATCGATGAAAGATAGCTGCGGAAAATAGATTGAAATGGTATTTTAAGTTTTAACAAGTAATCTGCGATTTAGAGTTTAGATAGACGATGAATCAAGAGAACTAGAGGACTTTGTGGTCGTTAAAGTTGTATGGTTGAGGCATAAGAGGACTTAGACGAGTTGATAAAATATTGCAAGATGTTATGGAGTTTTTTGGTGACAGTTTTGTGAAGATGTTTGGGCCATTCTTGAGGATGTAAGATTTGTGATTTGTCGTTGTTATTCATACGTTGCGTGTTTTTTTTTATTAAGTTGGATGGGTGTGTGGGGAGCTGTGATTTTTTTGTGATTGATTGTTTTTTAGTGCATTGGATGAAAATGAAATGGGAATGTTTGATATGACGGAGTTGCGATGAATGTATTCATCACAACTAAACGTGATGACATTGTATTGTTGCGTATACTGTTGGCGCTCTTTGTATTATATTATGAATGGGTGCTTTAACTACAGTTGGTCAAAATGGTGATGTTCAGATATAACTTTGGGGGAAGTAATCGTTGAGGATCGTAATTCTGTAAGAAGTAGTGAACATCCCGGGAGTTTAATTTGGCGATGAAGATGGAAGATGTGCACGGAGGATCATCAGCTTTTGCTGATGTTGAGGCAGAGTCGGGTGTAAGAAACGTGTGAGGCTGCGTATGACCGTATCATGTTCGACCGGATAGTTGATGAGCATATTGAAGATTGTAAGGGGCTTAGTTATAGCGTCGAGCCAGAGAATCGAGAGGGGACAACATCGGTATGAGTCTGATCCTACCGTTGAATATGGTGTTTTAGGTAAGGTTCCAAGCGGTGATGAAATGAAGAGAATATATGTGGTAGGTACTTCAGTGATAATGAGGGCCTTCGTTGGCGTAAGGAGGACTTTGTGTTTGTTAAGGGTGTATGGTGGAGATATAAGAGGAGTCCATAGAATATTGCAAGATGTTATGGGCTTTTTGGGTGGCAGTTTTCTGAAGATGTTTGGGCCTGTGTAGAGGATGTAAGATTTGTGATGTGTCGGGTCTATTCAACTTCATTGATATCTATCATATCTTATGGGTTTTTTTTTTTTTTTTTTTTTTTTTTTTTTTTTTTTTTTTTTTTTTTTTTTTTTTTTTTTTTTTTTTTTTTTTTCCCAAGTTCAGTGGGGGTGGGGAATGTGTTTTTTTTTTTTGTGATTGACTGTCTTTGAGTATGTTGGTTTCAATTTTGAAATGAAATGGGTATGTTTCGTATGATGGAGTTTTCTTGAATCTATGCTTTGAACTAATGTGATGACATGTGATTGTTCGGTGAACTGTTGGCATTGTTTGAGCTATTGTTGTAAATGGATGTTTTTGATACAGTTGCTCAGATTGGTGTTGTTCGGATGTAAGTTTGAGGGAAAGTGTGCGTGGTTTGTGAATGCAATATCTGATGATATATTTGTATGGTGTTGTGTTTGTAACTTTGTAGGGAATTTCAGTATTGGTGGCCAGGATATGGAGAATGTCGAGGGAAGTGGGGAGCTGTTTGTAGGTGATTGGCATATCCGTGTTTTTTGTTTTTATGAAGGGAGTTTTTTTGTGTTGGTGACAAAAGTTTGGTCTTCCAGTGGCTGAAGATGCTGACGATAGGATTCACCTTTGTTTTCACCAGTCCCTATCGAGATTGGGAGTTATGTAATTGACCGTGTTCTGAGCTCTATGCTACGGTGGGAGGTTAGGTTCATCGGGAGTCGGGAAGTATTTGGTGGAGGTTAGGTTTATGGGAGGAATCTTTACTTATGTCCGCGAGTTTTTTATTCCAAGAAGGTGTGTGGTATGCGGGTATACAGTCGGTACGGTGGCGAGTAATCGCATAGGCTGTTGTTGCAATCATTGCCATGTTTCGTCAGTCCGTCAGTACATCAGTTTGTCAGTCCATCCCTCTGTCCATTCGTTCATCCGTCTGTCAGTCAGCCAGTCAGTCGGTCAAGGAACCAATTGATTAATCCAGTCGATTCGATTGATTCATTGGTTCCTCGCTTGATCGATGATTGATTAGAAAGAACGAAAAAAAAGGATCTGCTGCGCCTACTGCAGCAGCTGCTGCACCGCATTGGCGCTTCGAGTCTGCTATGTGACACCCCAACCCCACCCCCAACCTGTTTTTCCATTCTTTTTCCTTCTAATTGACCTGAATTTGTTTTTGGGGGTCTCCACGTGGTGCTTGGAAACCCCCAATTTGTTTTTGACGCTTGGAGACCCAGGATCGGCAGAAAAGTCGTCGTCATTCCAGGATCCCCGACAACGGAGTTACTGGACGTCCGCCGGAGACGTCCACCCGAGCTGTTCGCCCGTCAGACAACAGGTAGCATAGGTTTTAGAACTTTTAGGTTATTTGTGTATGGTTGGAAACTTTGTGGATAGATATAGTCCATCTGAGATTTAATATACTGCATCGTCTAATTAGGTATGTGGGAATTCTTTGGAACAATTTGGGAATACGATCCGCAGCTATCTGTGCACCAGTGTGTAGTTATGCTTTGTTCTCCTCAGAGGGTGTTGGAAGTTGTTATTATGGTGATTTGGACTTTGGGTTTGGGTTCTTGATGTTTCATGCATTGTTGGAGGATCTACCTTTGTGGATGGTGGATGGTTTCTCGAGCGTTTTGACTGGTTCTGTATTAAGTGATGGTGTTATGATTTAATTGATAACGTCATGGTCATTGTAGGTCCAGGTGTTTGTGGCAGTGTGCGTATATACTATATATGGTTCTGAATTTCACTCTCTTTGTTTTTTTTTTTGTGCGGTTGTGTCAATTTGGGTTCATTTTGGATCTCTGAAATTTTCAGCAGAGCGTTCGGGAAATGTGTTTAAACTTTAAGGTTTAAACCAAGTGGTTGAGTGAGTATTGGACGTTCTGCGCTGCTGAAGCTCTTGGTGATCGTTTTTGCTTGGATGCCAATGGGTGCATGCGTTATTGGTGGTTGTCATTAGTGAAAATGCAAGCTCACAGAGAGTTTGGTGAATGTTTTGGGATGATGAGCCAATGTGGAGTTAGTGTGGACGGTGGAATTGTTGATGTGATGTGGGTTTGTGATGTCTCGGTTTTCTGCCTGCGTGTAGATGGGTGACGTACTTTGTTGTGGCAGGAGCAATTCCTGGATCTGTTTAGAGACTCTGGTGGTGTTCTATATATGTGTCGAGTTGTTGAGGGCTTTAAAGAATGTTGTGTGAGACTTCAGTATGTGAAGAGAGAGTAGATTGTTGTGTGCCCCTGTTTTCGTCTTGCTGCTTATGTTCTGCATTGCAGTCTCCAGTTGGCGATGATTGTATTTCGAAAATGGACGGGGTTTGATCTTGGAGCGCTGTGTGTGCTCTGGAATTGTTGCCCTGAGGTGGAGACAGTTGTGTTCGATGGCGATTGATTGGGCAACATGGACGTGCATGTAAGAACATAGAATGAGCAACCTGTGGCAATTCACTGGAGTGTCTCGAGGTTTAGAACCTTTTGTAGTAAAATGATGAAGAGGTTAATAACATGTTCGTGGTAAAAAACGTCGACACTGATCGGTTCTGGGAAGTTGTGGGTTGCCTTTTCGGTGCAGCACAGGGTTGCATAGCTTCCGACTGCCGACTCCGACCGCCGACAGTCTTGCAGCCGACCAGTGGGGCGACCGGTCGGCGGTCTGCCAACCAGTCAGAAAACAGGCATCCTGTGGCATACTGCGCATCCACACGGGCCTGCAAGGCCCGACCAAACAAGGAAAGTAAGGGCCCTACAGGCCCTGTGTCGTTTTCAGCCTGAAAGCCTGAAAACAAGGGCTTACAGGCCCTGGTCGTTTCAGCCTGAAAGCCTGAAAACGAGGGCCTGCAGGTCCTGAGTCATTTCAGCCTGAAACGGAGGGCCATTTTCAGGCCCTCATAAAGTCGACCTGCCCTGAAACTTAGGCACCAGACCAGGGTTTTTAGCACACGCCACTTTTGGCCTGTTTTCAAGACAATCTTTGTTTGAACTTCAACACCAGAGTCTGGCACGTTTTGGCATTGGCAAGAGTGGCCTCCTGGACGGGCCAAGCACTATATAAGACTGGCCCGCCCTGCAGGCTGCAGGCAGGAGGAGACAGTCATGAGGTAGTTCCTAGGAACTTCCCAGGCACTTCACGTGCAGAAGGCAGAAGGCAGGAGTAGTCTTCAGGATTCGGCAGCAGCACTCTGGAGTAGCGCTGCAGGAGTAGCGCTAGCGCTAGCAGTAGTCTTCAGCGCTGGGCGCTGGTAGTGGTAGAGTAGCATTGGAGAGAGAGATGACTGGCGGAGGCCAGGAGGACTCACCTGTGGCGCCATAGCTCCAGCTTCATCTTCGAGGTACCTGCATCAAGGCACCAACTTCACAGGTTAGTACCAGACTGAGAGAGAGAGAGTTCTTCTTCTTCCTCTTCTAAGTCTACCATCTCTTCTTCACCCTCTCGCT